GGGAGAAATTTAGATTAAATATCCCTCAACACACTGTGAGCACCTGTTGGCTGCATCAGCACCTGTATTACTTCTGCTAAAGACGTCCATCATTACTCCATCAGCACTCCTGATTCGCGGCCAGTTCAGGTATCAGCCAAAGCTGCTGAACAGTAAATACCTTTAATAATTTGCTGCTTTTAAGGCATTCAGTCAGGCCAATTACATAAAATTACAGGTCTGCCTTTTTCATTTTACAGATTCTTTTTGTCCTAACAATTTATAAACATTCAATGAGCCCACTCAGTAAACACTGTGGGCAGCATAAAACTCAGAGAGCAAATATTTTTATAATGCTCTAGCTTTGAAGATCCTTTTGAAGATGATTTCTGAAATGTCCCTGCTAGTGCCGGATGGGGACTGGCTTCCCCTGCATGCAAACGGTACTGATTGCCACATAACAAATTGCTAAGTGAATTACAAAATAGCATTTGCACTCCTCGACCACGCCAATGAGTGTAATTTAAATAAATCCATTCATGAAGGCCTAATTAACAGGGACTGTGCAATTTGCAGCCATGTATGGGAAGCCTCTGCTAATCACAGATTGAATCCGGCAGAGTGCTAAGTGCTGCTGAAGTGCAGGAGAATTAAAATCACTCAGACCTTTCAGGGATCAAGCACTACATCAGAAAAATACTGAATTAATATTGTTGCCCTCCTGTAGGGGCTCTTGCTAGTACTGGAGAGGGGAGCAGGTCCTCGTGTGGTGCATGGCCCTCAGGAAACTGCTTCTGGTCTTTCTCTTGCCTCTGTTTTGCCGGTTGTGAAAGGGAGATAATGATGCTGATTTCTTTTAGAGATCACTTTGAGGTCAATTCAGGAGGAAAGCTTGAGTACAGCTGAGTACAAGTTGAGTAACTTTTGTTTTTGCAGGCTCTCTTCAATGTTTGTATTAAAAATTCTTAACTTGGAGAATCAGCTGACACTGTAAATTACTGGGAGACATTCAGGTTAGACATGTGTTTATTATAAGCACCAGAAAAGATGTTATTTGTTTACAGTAACCTACAGCAGTCCAAATCACTGACCGTCCCCCGTTGTGCCGTGTGCTGTACAAATGGCAGAAGTCACAGCATTACTGAGAGACAGGTACGTCAATCAAGTGAATTCTTGCCTCAGTGTCTGCAAGCTAGAAATTCAGCATCTAATCACATCTTCTATAACTCTGGCCTCACGTCTGCTGCCTTTGTGCCTGTGGCCAGATGGGTGCATCCCTCTGCGATGGCCCTGATAACATCTTTCTAGCAGGAGCTATCATGGGACAGTAAAAAGCAGCTTTTTTTCAAAATGTAGGCACATTGAAAATGGGAGTGGAACTAAATCACAAAGCAAAACCACCCGATCATTAGATGTCTGCTGAGGCTATGGGGATGTCGAGGAGCCGTGCACAACAGCATCCTTGTTCTGGTGGCTTTGAAATGAAACAAAGCCTGCGGCCCTGGGCTGGGGACAGCGGCAGCGTTGGGTTTCACCTGCCCTTTGTGCCTGTGGGAGAAAAGCAGCTCAACCTAGACAAAACCTAATGAAATTGGTGACCGTGCTGGGCAGCAGCACAAGATCCCAGCTCGGTTAAGCAGGGCTCCATTTAAGGAGGTGCTTATGTCCCACCAAAACCTTACTGAGATACTAGACAAGTTCAACGCCTGCAAGCCTATGGGCTGTGATCCTGCTTTTATCACCCTCTGCAGCAGTGGAGACCCCACAGATCTCATTTCAGGGATTTTTTTTTTTTTCCCCTGGTTTACCTTGCAGTCATGGTGGTAAGAATGAGACCTGTACATTTGCCAGCATTTTCCAGCTAGTGTACAAGTTCTCCTTCCCATTTGATTAGGATCCCATCACCATGTTCATTATCTTCTGCTTGTTCATTAGTTTGAGATAATTAAAACAAAAGTACTAGCAAAAAATTTACATCATTCTGTTTACTGGAGACTTCAAACCTATGGAACAAAGTTAGATCCATGGATCATACTGTATAAAAGGTGACCTAAAAAAAACCCACGCAGGCTGTCAGTTCTCTGGCATGCCGTTTGTCATCAGCACAGTGTAATTATCATGGACTTTAGTGACACAATAAATATGAGAGCACAGGTGGTATCCATTTCAGCTGTTTAATTGAAGAAATGAAAGATCCTGTAATACAGAGTCAACACAGAGAATTTGTCACCCTACACTAAAAACTTCAATAGCCATGACCTTGAGGTCATAAAATTACTCATCAGGAGTAAAATTTTTTATGATACAGAAGTGAAGAGTATTGATTTTATAAAAAATAATTTTATATGCAATATAAATGGACATAATGGCTCACTCCAGTCTTCTACAGGGCCTGAAAATCCAGGAGTGCTGTGTACAAATCAATACAAATAATATCTTAAACCATAAATTTTAATTCATTTATAAAATACAGGCTGCAATTTTTTTTCCTTAGAGCTACCACAAAACCAAAACCAAACTAGGGAATGGTTCCTCCAAAGCTTTCTAAAATTTGCTTTGTCTTGCTGGTGTGTTGTGCACTTATAATTGTAGCAGAATAAGCCTGACTTTAGACGCCTGGGCTGGTGCTTCGTCGACTTTAAGTCCAGGGACTTGAGACCCACTAGCGATCCTGCTGTGAATGCATTTGGTAGGAAAAAAATCTTCCAGGGCCTGCTGTGGAGTAGCACTGCGAGAAAATACAGAAATTTTGTTAGAACAGCAAGCAGAAGATGCAATCAGGTGGCTCAAATTAACATCCTACCTGGGAAACCTCGTGTATGTCGGGATGAAGCTGCTGCCCCAGAGGGAGCAGTAATGGTGGGGGACTCGGGTAAAGCCCCACAGACCAGAGGGCTCACAAAAAGTGAAAGCCAAGCTCTGAACCCTCAGCTCTGGACCTGACGCAGAGCTCTCTGACTCAAGCTGAAGCTGTTGTGCACTGAGCTGATCCTGCTGGGCTGAGTGCCCTTCCTCAGGTACGTGAAAGCCCCCGGAACCTGAATTTCTGGTAGGTTTTGGGGTTTTTTTTGGCAGCCGTCCTCCGAGCCCCAGGGCCGTGGCCGGTGCCTGCTGTGTGGAGCCGCGGCTGCCCTCACACCGCTCCCCCTCACGCCCGCGCTGGACCTTGAAGGAAGGTCGCACGCAGCGAGAAGGCGCAAAGCCCTTTTCCCGCCTATGGCGCTCGCCGCCATTTTGTCTCCCTGTCCTGAGCACCGCACGCCTTCCTTTCAGGGTGCTCCCTTCCCATCCCAGCTGGTCTGTCTGTGTCTCCCCCGAGACCCTTTGGCGGTAGGTGAGGCTGCGGTAAGGACTCCTGCCTGCCCAGCCTCCGAGCCGACACTGTCCCTGCCTGTGTGGGACAGCCGCCGTGAGCTGCTCGGGCTTGGGCAGGGAAAGAAATGAGGATGGTGATGGGCCCATGCAAGAAAAATCTCTTTGCAGTGTAGAGCCCAGCCTGGCTTTGGGGGTGCAAGCTCGTTTGGTGCCAGACACCAGTTTGGGATGGGGTGGTGGTGCCAAAGGCTTCGTACTTTTATTTATTGTGCTTTCCATCTTGTCCTTTCTCTCAGAAGCAGGTCTGATCCTGGGTGGTGGTGAGAGAAAGTTCCCTCAGCTGTCCGCGGGAGCTCAGCCCCTGCTTCTGAGGAGGTGAATGAGGGGTGCAATTGCATGCTGCTGCTTCCCCCGTCAGGGCCTGTAGCATTTTAAAGCCTAAATAGCCTCTTTAATATTCCTTTGATACTTGGGTTCCTGGTGCTGTTTTCTTTAACCTGATTCAGCTGTGGTGCGAGGTATGACATTTAACAATATTTAACTTCTTTTGAGGCAAGAATATTAACCTGCCTTGGAGGTATAGCTGAGGTGACTTTCCTACATAAGTGAGTGTGAATTCTTCCATATAATGGGATGGGAATAGGTCTGAGGGCCCCATTGTTCGGTAGTTTTTGTAAGGCAAATTTGGGATACCTTTCTGTGAGAGTTTAGTTTGAAATGCTCTTTAAGAGAAATCGTTTTGTTGTCAGATAACTGCTTACTTTTTTTAAAGTGTAGACTGTCTATTTCTTTCCTAGTGTTTTCAACAGATCATTATACTAACGCCCAATGAAATGGTTAACAATTCTCACACAAGGTGCCAGGTACAAAGACCTCGAAAGCCATTCAGGACTTTTGTTATAAAGTTTGAACAGGCGTCCTCTGAAAAATGTCAGCAGTTCTCTCATATTAAAGGTTATTAAGATTTGGACAACTCGATGGTTCCTTTTACAAAAAAATAGAATCTGACAACTATTTGCTAAATATCAATAATGTCTCTGAGGGTACCCGCGAAATAATAAGAGGCATTCAGACAGGCTAACAAAGCATCCATGGCCCGACTTTGGTATCAATAGAGAGGACTTGAGTGCGCAGTAGCTCACAGGAACGGGCAGTCATGCTATGTTGGCAGCCTGAAAATAACTGATTTTTTAAAATTTTATTTTAATAAATTCAAAACTTTTCTACTTCGAGGAAGGAATGAACTCACTTTCTAAAGTAGTTTAATATTAAGTCCAAAACCTCAATTAAGGTGATTTGCAACTCAGAAATTTTCTTTCCTCCCATGTAAATGGCCTTTTATATATGAACTGCCTCATTAAATTCAGTTGGACTTCCCAGACAGGAGAAGGAGGGTAAATATTTTTCAGAGGCTGGTGCTAATGGAGTCATTTAATGCTGAATGAATAAATAAATAAAAATTACAAACCTTTATTTGAGAAGCATAGGTAGTTATAGTAAAATTCATAACTTACATCACCAAATACAAACAATAAAGAATTGTCTACTTCAGATGGCTTGAAACGCTTTTTAGTGAAAACAGATGCTATTTAGGTCAAAACATTTGTGTTAAAAAAATAACTTGTTATTCCACTGTGAATAGTTTTAAGTGATTTGTTTAGATTTTCAAAAAATCTAAATTAGTTTTCTCAAGTTACAGATAAAGAATGGCTTATTCTAGTTCAACACGGGACTTTGTTGCACTTTCAGATCTGCATCCAAATCTTGCTCGTCCTGTAAGTCTCATAGACATAGTACTTTTGTTCTCAAATGAAATTGTATATGACTGTATTATATTACTGCAAAATTATGTAATTGATGTGTATTTAGATACTAATAGCATTAGTATAATTGTTAGATATAAAGTACCTTACCTTCTTTGTGTATAAACCAGCAGAATGAAAATTGATGCTGTTGCTGTCCATAGTATGTGGATACCACAACTATAGATATTGACCGGACAATTCAATGTCTGAAAGTATCAGAGGCTTCTTTGTAATGTTTTAAATGGATGCTGAATTAGTAAAGACACGTACAGAGTCAGCATTATGTAGTCACAATACATCTGTAACCTATAATAGTCTTTCACTACAAGCTCTGAACGTAAGGCCCAATCCTGCAGTCTTTATTTGTGTGCTCAATTCCTCTGGGCTAAATAACATAGTCCTGAATTATTCAAACAAAACTCTTGGTGAATGGTATGGTGTTTTAACTGGATAAAAATCTCACAATTACATGTCAGATAGGATCGTTTCTGTTTCTTTAGAACAAAAAGCAGGTTTTGTGGTTGTCAGTTTATAAGAAGCTAAGAATTTTGCTTGTGGGAGTACAGGAGAGCAGGATGAACCAAAAAGTAAACTTAAACAGCAAAGCTTTGTAGTTGGCAGATTCATACAGATGTTTGAGTACGGGGGTTTTTTTGTTTGTTGTTTGTTTTAGTTTTTTTTTGTCCTGGTAGAAGTGAGGATTATCATCACTGGAGTAAGAGATGAATAGGGGAATGTGCTGTGAAGCTCAGTATTTTTCCCTTCTGAGTTTTAGATGGTTGAATAAAAACCAGGAAGTCTGGGGAGGGCAGTTTTTCATTCTTTGCTCTCCAAGATGATGTTTTAATATGGGAGGGAGAAGACTACCTTATTCTCTGTTGCAGTACTTCTCACCCTTCACTGTGTAGCCCACCAGCGATAACGTGTCTTCTGAGTGTTCAGTGCTGTGGGGAGTTGGAGCCTGGAGAACAAACCAGAGAGGCAGGGTTTCCCTGCGGAGTCACTGCGAGCTGTGGTGCGGTGTTACAACCCTATCTCCCTGTCCAGCTTAAAGTAGATGCACTGTCTATAGAGCTGTACGCCCCATGGAAGTCCTGATGCTTGTGAAGAGAGTGAAAAGAAGGAGTTTTCCCGTCCCAAACTTTTTTATTTGGGAGGGGCACAATTTAGCCCTTTTTTTCTCATTTATTTTAAACAAATGGAAGAGAAATCACAGAAAAGGGGTGAACTAGGAGAAGGAGTTTTATGTGCCCTCACAGACGTATTGTATATTCTTTCCAACTTTTTATAAACTCCTGGTCTCCAGTAAAGCTAATTTAAGCTGTCACTCACAGTTACTCTCAAATAGAGTGATCCAGTAACTCGGTTAAAAGCTTTTATTTTACAAATAAAACTAATCTTGAGTGTTGCAATTAGCAACATAGAGTAAAAGAAGTATTTTTATAGAAAATAATTCACTAATATCTCATGATAGAATGATCAGTATGTGTTTGGGACGTTAAAACACCTGAGCACACATAATTCAAAGTATCAAAAGGTCATATTTTTTTACTTTTCAGTTTATTTTTTAAAAGTGAAATAGATCAAAGTCTAAGAAACTTGCAGTGTGTTAATGCTGTAGTCTCATGATTTGGTTGAGCAGCCTCAAACAATGCTCTGCCAAAAAAGGCAGTACAGCCTGCTTCCTCGTTGCAGGTGTGTTCTGCTCCTCTTTTGGTGAAACTAGTGCTTGTGTTGTTGCACAATAAACTGATCAAGGAAATGGAAGTTTTTTGACCCCCCCAAAGTAGTTTCCAGCCAGATCACTTCCTTCTGCCAGCTTGCTGTGCAGACTTAGCGCTAATACAAGAGAGGTGAATATATCTGCAGCAGGGACGGGAGGTTTCTTTTGGAAACTGCAGATTGACATTAGCTTAATTCATGTGAAGAGTCATTCTGAATGTCAGTTCTTCTGACTGGTGGTGAGATACAGGGTATGTTGCACTTTGATTTAATTGAAATGTTTGTTTTTTAAGAAACAAAGCCAAAACCAGAAAAATAAAATCCTTATTTAAATTACTATATGTAATGTGGACAGATAGAAAACACTCTGTTAGAAAGATTGGAAGAACTAGGATATTACGCTGTTGTACACATACATCCTCTTAATGAGCTCATTTCCATCACTAGGATAAGACAGTTACCTTGCTCCATCTAGTGATTCAAAGTAAACTGGGAACATGTGATCTAATTTTTGAGCACATGTCAATACTGTAGAGTTACAGTGAGGTGCGTCAGGTTGCATTGCTTTGTGAATAGGTGCAAAATTCAGCCTGTGTGGGTTATTAAATTGTTACACTGCCCCTTGCTAGCTGACTGCTGGGGTTCCCCTGCTTGAATGAGAGAGTCAGGCGGTACTGCAAGTAACTCCACATGTGACGTGGAAGAGATGTGGCACGCTTCATGTTTTGAAGGACCCTTGGAGTATTGCAATGTCAGTTGCTCCTTCCAGTCCTTGTTACCAAACCAGCTCTCATTGCTTACCTCTTAAATCCCAAACTAGCACTGCCATACTCTTCTCTCACACTGAGGAGGACCTTTTTATTTCGAAAAAAACCCCAAAACCAAACACCACACAGCTATATATTATTTATATAAATATATTATATATATCTATCTTTCTTCCGGTCTGTGTTTGCTCCTAGTAGTTTTGTTTGACAATTGAGACTGGGGTGCTTTTGCATAATAAATACAGGTTTAGCAAAGCAGAATAAGATTGATTTTTGTTTTGAAACATCAAAAAAGTTCATTGCCTAAGCTCCCTTTGTTGAGAGACAGACAGCAAGAAAGAGGCACCTGTAAAAATTTATGTTGCTTAGATGAGGATAGGATAAATGGCCCTCCCTATGGATGTACACGTGTGTATCTCGGTGCTGACAGCAGGGGAAACCTTGAACGCTTAACTGTAAAATAAATCCTGTCCAGAATTTTCATGGTGCATTTAAGGAGATCTGAGACCTGTGCAGAGAGCGTGAAACAACAATATTGCTGCCTACCTGAGGAGAGATTGCTGTAGAACAGCCAAAATTGTGAATGTTTTGGATGAACTTTTGTCCTCCCATTGTCTTTACAAACAGAAACAGATGTATTTCTTTTAATATTTTTATTAGTCACTCTTTTTCTTAAAGTCAGATTGTATGTTTATGTTTTAGTCCTTAGTTCATATGGCACTGTGGAATAAATAGATTAAAATGATTACCATTCAGAAATATGTTTATTATCATCAATAGAGTACAAGTCCATGAAATCTAATTCATCATATACATCTGTGTTTAATACTTGTATTCTATAATCTCTTTATTTTTTAGAATGTAATCGGTGTGGTTATTGGGAAAACAGATGTCAGAGGCTTTCCAGACAGAAAAAGTACAGTCCCTTTTAACTGTTTTTACTTCATTTTCTTATATGGTATAATTTGGCATATATGACTGAAATCAGTATTTAAATGATAAACAGAATTCTTTTAGTGTAAAATGTATAGAATAAAAATGTGCAAAAAAAATTGTGTGTGTTTGAGAACCAAGATGAAAGAGCAGCATTAGTTTGGCTAAACCTTATCAATTAGAATTTGTTCTGGAAAACTCCGTCTTGGAAGTAAGTGTTTCAAGGTCTGAAGAAGATGGTACTGATATGAACCCACTATCATATAAATACTGCTGGAATAGACTTAGTCCCTTCATATTCATTCTCTCTTAAAACAGAAATGTTAAGGACATGTCTTGAGGAGCAGAACAAGTAATTTCTGGTCTGGGTAGCACTACCTTCATCTTACTATATAGTCCTAAAGAAAAATGGCAATTATACATTGTTAATACATCATTAGTTGGAAATTGAACCAATATATCTACAGCTTAGGGTTGACACAGACACTGTTAGGATGCATCTCCAGTCACAGGGCACCATTCCAGCTCTGTGAAGCGCTCAGCTATTCTGTTGGCGTTGTCGTCATGCTGAGCTGCTCTAGTGGTGGATTTTTAGAAGGAAGTCATCATCGTCACCAAAAACAATTCTACACAGTCTGAAAATGTGGTGTTCGTGTTTATGCCTCCATGGAACTACAGTCAGATTATGCTTACTCTATGCGGATCACTATACAATTTTCATTGATAATTTAAAAATAGCATGTTGCATAATGGAAAGCTTTGTTAATCAGCTGAAAGAGAAAAGGGAATGCAGTGTTTCAAAGACTGATACCCTCTTGACCATGAACTTTCCCTAGAGCTGGAAACACTTTGCTTCATTCAGTTAAACCCCTCAGTACTATCTGGACAGCAATACTGCCTGTGATCTGCAGCCTTGTACGTCATTGCGGTGGTCTCGTACGTGGGCACAGCCATCTGTTACACAGACAGCCTACCTGTTACAAAATTTGGGCTAGTATGTACACTCCTTCATAGCGTTGCTTTATGCGTTAGCCCTGTTTATGTGTTTGTCCATGCCTTAAATGTAGCATCGTACAGTTCTTTCATTTCTCTTGCATTAGATCTGTAAGTTTATATGGTGCTGCCTAAGGTTAAGTGATATGTGTACGTGGGTGGGATGGTACAAGTACGGCCTGAGTTGTAGCCATCCCCATTGAGGAACACCAGTGTGTTTACTGAACAGTCTGCTGACCTCTAGTGGTACTCACCAGATTTCGGGTAGTAAATTCAGAAAATCTAGGACAGCCTCGAAATAATAGTTTTTATACGTGTATTCTAGATTGAAGTCAAGCTGTGCTAACAAATTGTAACAGTGCTGTTTATTTTTGCAGACATTGGGTCTGAAAGATACACCTTCAGTTTTACTATTCGTGACTCACCCACTTGTTTTATAAATGTAAATTCTTGGGGCAGAGAAGACTATATTAGATCACTTTCAGAAAGCTTTAGAGTTGGTGACTGTGGTAAGCTGGAGTTTATTCTTAACATGTTTCTGTTTGAATGTGTTTTTTTCCCCCAGTAAATCAGTGTTATGTGTTTGTGGTTTTGTTATATTTTTCTCTGAGGACTCAGAAAACGGTCTAATTGGAAACAAATTGTTCAGTTATGTTAAGTATAAAGAGGAAAGGAATGAGATTTCAAGCATTTAAATTCAAAACCAGTAAATATGTCAACAAAAAGACCAGATACAAACCCACTGAATGCAGCCACCCAGAATTTACCTATAGTTAATCGATCTGAATTCTTACATTATATTCTGTTCTTATAAACTACAAAAAATAAGCTCTGTAAAGTAGTTTGGTGTTTGTCTTCATTTAGTTATAGATATGACTATGTTTGTTCATAAAAACACAGCAAAAATCTTGTATTTATTTACAGTCTGTACTTTTATCTTGATAAGTTAATGGAAAGACTTTGCTGCCCATGGTTGCTAGATCAGAGTGTTTGGATAAAACTTGTAGCTATGAAGAGTGTACACACAAGAACTCAGTGTCGTTTTGTTTCCATTAAATGTCTTGAGGACTCCTGTGGGACTTTGGCTATAATGTGCGCTGTCTGGACAGATATGGTTTTCAGTATGAAAACATTTGGCAGTAGTTACTGCACGTACCTTTTCCTTTCCTTATTGACCTTGAAAACAACCATTTTTAAAAGCCATCTCTCTTTATATGTATCTATATTCAGTTTTCTAACATTATTTATCAATGTTTTATTTTAGTTACAATTGAAAATCCTTTAGTTCAGTCAAAGGAAGCAGAAAGGGAAGAAAAATTCAACCCTGTAACTCCTAGGTAAATTTAAAGCATAGACTAATAGCTCTTTTCAGAAAGATAAAAGTTAATACTTTAGTTGCCAGCTGATTGCAGCAGCATGTGATTGGTAGAAGTATTTGAGGTTGGTTTTCTTATGTAGCTGTACCTTCCCCCTGCGTTCAACCATGTATGGTCAAGTAATCTCAAAAGAGAATATATTTCTCAGTACATGGCTTTGGAGCTTGTCAGAAAGTAATAATGCTCTTTGTAACTAAACAGAGTAAATGCCATTCTTTGAGTACAGTCTACTAAAATTTGAAAGGGAATGTGTGTGTGTGGGGGCAAGTCTTTCCAGTCTTGAATTGAGTCAGTGATTGTGATCTCCCCCTGCTGCGTTTACGTTTCCCCTAGTTCCTGCTTCTTTGGCAACCATCCGGCCTTCAGCGCCTTCTGGAGCAGGATGTTCCCTTTTTATCAGTCTTTAGTTCCTCTTCAAGGGCATAGTCGTTAGTAAGGTATGATACAAAGTAATCAGGCCTGCATAGTGAAGCTATTGAGTAATGGTCCTTCTTAAAGGACAATGCATCATGTTTAACCCTAAATTAAGCAGTATCACCACAGCCTAGGCATTAACTCAAACATATGGCTACAACTTCACTGAGGAAAAGAGCTCCTCTCCAAATCTATAGATTTCATAAGCATTTGTAAAATATATTTATCCAGAATATATTGAATATATCTTATTTCCACTGGCTAAGAGTGCATTACAAATATTACTTAGGTCATTGGGCTATTACTTTTGAAAGCACCTTACCAAATCCAGTCTGACTGTAGTAGTGTCTTATTATGTCATGATGCCAAAACCTCTTAATTACCTGGATTACAGACATTTTGGAACTTATCTTATTTTTAGTGATTCATAAGGACTGAAAGATTTACAAATATGTATTGTACATTGCTAGCATTTCATTTATAAATAAGTATAAAGTACAGGATAATACATTTTTGGTAGAAGTAAAGTATATAATTTAAAAAAAATAATTTTAGAACAAATTAATTCAAACTTTTCCATATCTTTAGGGAAAACAATAGAGGAATAAATCAGCAGTTATTTTCTCATGTGAATTGAATTAACATTTTACACTGTTAGTATATTGGTGAGTGAAATGTTGATTGATGTGATTTGTTTTGTGCGTACTATCTAGTTGCTACAAATTATTGCTCAGTGAAAATCATTCAGTGGTCAAAACATCTTCGTGTTATGAAATGGACACCAAACTACTTTCTCTGTTGCACCTGCCTGTCAAGGACCCTCAGGATTATTATTCACTGGGTGATATCATTGCAAATGGACAAAGCCTTGATGGAAGAATCCTTAATGTGCTTGCAGCTGTAATGTCAGTAAGTTAAGGAGTCACAGTACCATGGGCGATTTAACTGACTTAAGTGTGAATATGGATTTTGGGACGCATAGTGGACAGGAATCACTGGTTTTGTTTGTTCATTTGTTTAGGTTGGCAGTCACTTCAGCGGAGTTACAACAACCATACAAGGGGAAATTAAGGGAATGGAATGTCCTACATCAGTTGTCTTTTTGAAATCATGCATGTGCAAGCAGTAGATAACTTGCAAATACGTAAAGTGCGAATTATTATAAAATAAAATGTGTCTCTTTATCCTGAAGTAAAATTACTGTTGTTAAACTTTTAGTGGTGTATTTTTTTTTCCACTTTTTTAACTCTTCTAGGTTATCATTTTTATTCTCCTAAACACTTACTAGAGGAAAAGTGACTGCTTCTCTTTCTTCTTAAAGGTTGGGGAGCCAAAGTATTTTATGACTTCAGACAAAAGAAAAGGTCAGAGGTGTGAAATAAAGCTGTACGATGAAACAGAGATGTCTTTTCCAATAGTATGGTAAAATGTTTTTTAATTCACTAAAATACTCAAATTAATGCAAGAGTAGGTAAAGAAATTAACTATAATACATACTGTTATAATATTATCTTTTAATTTAAATGTATTATTATTTGGGTGGCAACTATGAGGGGGCAGCAATGTATGCTAAACAGAGGCTTAAAAAAGAAATTCATTAGAGTGACCTTACATGTATTGCCTAGTTTTATGACTTGCTGACAGACTGTTAGCTCATGAATGCCAAAATGAAGCTTAGTTCCAAATAGTTACATTTTTTTAATGTGGAAATTTGAACTAATTCAGGAAATGGCATTTAAAAACAGTTGCAAAGGTAGCACATTTCTTCCACAAAAGAGGCGGGGGGGGAGAAGAGGAGTATGCTTCATTTTTAAAGCCAAGCAGAATTAATAAGTGGAATGGAAATAGGTTGAAATAGTTTTAAACTTTTAAAATAGCGCAGAAGCATTTTGATACTACTTAGGCCATATTTTCAAACTGTATCCCACTTACAGACATGACTACGTCCATACCATTTATGCATGTAAACAGAGATTTGTTTACACAGGAATATTTGCATTTTGCCCATAGTTTGTTAAATAAACTTGTGGCTTATCTACGTGCAAGGGTATGTGGGTATTTGTTTGCACTGGGTTTACTGTCCGTTGGTTGAAATGACCTTTGTTCCTTAGCTAGAAGTAGCAAGATAGCATCGCACTCAGTGTCCAAGTTAGAAACTGTTATCAGTCAGTGTAATGTTTAGCACAGTTAATGTATACACACGAACATTCTAGCCCTTGAGCTGCCACCAATGTTAATTTGCAGCAGCAGCCCCGATGCTCTTGTTTCAGTGCTGGTACATAGTGATGCAGAGCTGTATGCTTCAGGAGACCTCAGAAGCAGAGACTAGGTGGTCTTACTGTGGTTACCCTAAACTGTGCCTTTTGCACTTTCATGGAGCCCTATGCAGAGGCAAAGATTCAGGAAATCCTTGAGCAACAGCACTGTAGTCAAGACAGTTCAGAGGCCATCAGTGAAGAGGTAGCTGAGCAATACTAGATGAAAAGTAAATATCTTAAATCTTTTTCCAAGGATTAAGGAAAAAACCCACCAGAACAAAACTGTGCTTTGGCAGTATTCTTGCCTTCCAAACTTAAAAGGAACAGAATGAGATTTCATCAAGGGACCCAACCATCAAATTACCATTTTTGAGGGATAACTCTGACCTCACTCTAGTCTCATCATCCACAGTTACAAGGATTCCAGTGTTGGAAAGCCAGCTGAACATCTGGCCTAGTGATGTCAGCAATCAATTTGTTCCCACAGAAAAGGCTCAGCTGATAAGCAGTTATTTTAACTGTAATTTGCTTTAGTTAGAAATTACTTCTGTCAAAGCTCTGAAACACACACAGTATTTTTCCAGGTATATTCTGCATTAAATCATTTTGAACAATCTAATAGCCCTTTATTTTAAATTGCTTGGCGTGGGATAAAGTAGGGACCGTATTAAACCATACATAAAGCATCCTGGCTGGCTGCAAACTAGATGCCTGTGGATATACATGGCATTTCATTTGCATGTGCATGTAACAAAGGAGTTGTGTCCCCTTTGGCCAATTTAATTATAACTATATTATTTAGTAGTTTAGTACTAAACAGTTTGAGTGCTGTTTCAAAAATGTTTCAATACATTAAATTTTTTTTAATTTAGTTGGGATAATGAATCTATCCAGCTTGCACAGAGTTGGATCCCACGAGAAACAGGTATAATAGTCTGGTTTTTATGTTTTTACTGTAGTTCTTAATGTGATACTTATTCTACAGTAACAGCTGGGGTTTTTTTTGTGCACAGTAATATTTGCATCAGATGTGAGAATAAATTTTGACAAATTTAGGAACTGTATGACTGCAACTGTGATATCAAAAACCATCATTACAACTAATCCAGGTAAGAGCTGTTGAAGTATTGCTTTGGTATTAGTAATCATTATAGGCTAGAATGCATGAACGAATCTATTGGAGGTCTGACTCGTTCTACCTGCTTGCCTTGGAAAGCTCCCTGCTTCTTGTCTGTTATGTAATGACCAATGCTTTTGGCTTCCACCCTTTTCTCTTCCTTTTTTTATTTTTTTTTTTTTTAATTTTATCTAAGCAATTTTCATGTATTCCCTGTAGGACTAACAGTTAAAGTAAAAAAGAGAAAAGCATCTCTTGGCTAATTCCAAGAGACAACGTGTTTGTACTACCAGAATAAAAAGTTGTAAAATATAATTATGCTGTTATTTTTACATGCTACATATAACTTTTAAAAATACATTTTCAAGAAACAGCAGAAGCAAATGTTCTCTTCAGCTTCATAAAAGAGAGTGCACAATCAGGAGCTTTGCATGATAAAATGGAGGAGCAGTCAAAAGGATCCATTAACTGTAAGCATGGATCCAAACACTTCGATTTTATTTAACTATGTGATGTAGTTTCATAGTGCAGCTGAAATATCAGGTTCTTGCTCTGTGTTCATAGAAACAAAACTAAGGTATAGCCTGACTGAATATTTAAAGTTTGGACTATTGTTACTGGGGCTATCCCTTATATTATCAGTTATGTATCTTCAGCGTTGGTGACTATGCCAATTGCAGCGTGTCTGGCATGTTCATTCTGTCTTGAATAAGTATGAAAAATGGAGAGGGAAAGTTTTTGTCAAAAGCTCATTTTGGGGGATACAAAGATTAAATATTAGATATTTTCCTGATTTGAATGTGCTTTTGGGTTTTGTTTTTTTGTCCCCAAATGATAAGCCTACTTCAAATGGAAGGGGTGTGTGGTTTTTCTGATACTTTAGGTCAAATCCTCTCCTTTTTATTACCTTAAGATCCTTTTTTGTTGTTGCTTTTCTGCGTTGTTTCTTTCTCAGACGCACTTAACATGTCTTTTAAACTTCTAGTGGAGACTGTAGTTGATATTTATACGGTGGAACAGCTGAAAGAAAAAGCTTTACAGAGTGATGGGAAACTTGAACCAGTCTATGGCATTATTTATGGCTACATTTCTACACTGGACATTGATGATAATGCATCTAAAGTTATTCGCAACAGATGGTAAGTGACTGCCTGTTTTAAATTTGTATTAAAAAGTTCTTGTCCTTCTTCCCCTGACCCAAATTAGATAGAACAATATTTTAGTCCAGTTCTGGACAAGAAATAAAACTCCTCTGGAGGATGCCATGTGGATTTCTGTTGTGTAGACTTCCAGAAGTAGCAAGAAAGAGGAGTTGGCTTTATGAAGGACTTGCTCTTTGTGGTCCTAGAGGAGAGAAGAAGAAAGATGCCATTTTGTCTGAGACTTAAGAGTTTAGAAGATGAAGAATTTTTTTTAAAGATGAAAAGTCTCTTGGGAAGTCTCAGTCTAGAAAACAGTTTCAAAGAAGGAGGAATTACATATATGCATTAATTATCTTCTTATGTTTCAGTTCAATATGCCGTTTTATAGTGAATGAAATGTCAAACACATGCACTTTCTGCAGTGACGTCTCTTCATATTCAAAGTCAACTTTTTCAAGCTTTGACATACTCGTTGATCTGACAGATCACACAGGCACTCTTTATTCTTGTTACCTGTCTGACTGTGTAGCTGAGGAAACATTAGGCTGCACAGTAAGTAGAAATGAATTAGGTTGTTCTTATTTGATCTGAGCGGTGAAGCTTGAAGAAAACTACAAAGACATGTAAATGTTCTTCGTACATGTGTATGTGTACACCAGTTAAAAAAATTTGCATGTACGTGTGGATACACATACACTCAGCTTTTTAACAAGTCAAAAGTTAGAAGTCAGTAGCTGCTAATAAGAAGAAACGTGTTAAATGTAAGAGTGAATACCCTATTCAGAATACTGCTTTATTTTAATTAATTCACACTTTTCTGAGAATGTGGTTGGAATTCCCTAACTTTGATTCTCAAACACCCTGCAATTTATTCTGATTAATCTGACTGTCTTGGTACATATATCACACCAAACACTATGTTAAAATAGAACAATACAGCTTAGAAATGTATAAAAATGTGTAAGATGCTCTTTCCATCATCATTTCGTTGTGGAGATATTGTAACTATGTGCTGAAGAAGTGTTCTGTGGTGTCCTGTCATTAACAGGTCCATGAATTCCTTGCTCTAGCAGAAGACAAGAAGACTGCATTGAAATGGCAACTTCTTTTGGAACGAAGCAAGATTTATTTTAAAGTTAGTATTTAATGTTAATTTAAAACAGTGGCTGTTTCCCATTCGGTAGTATATTTAGTACTGAAAAATTCCATGTCAATTCTGCTGAGCTTTTAAAAATAAGGATTAGGTTTTGTACATATTCTGAATATTCCAAGTAAATAGTCTTTTGTCATAATTTCAACATTAGGGGATGTCCCTGCAGGATCAGATATACGCAGGCCTCTTTCAGTCAAGCTATGAAAGACACAAACTGCCCTTAGCCAATACTGATTAAGGAGCTGGTATTTCAAAAGCATGTATACATGATTTACTCAGTCACTGATTTCTATGGCTGTAGGTTTATAATGAATAAAGTTAACAGTATCTGTTTGCAAGAATAAGGTGCAGTCAATATATGTAATAGATTGTACAGTATACGGGGCTACCTAAGTATATTTCTCAGTTACCTGTATTTTTTGTAATAATGTGATTAGATATGTCTAAAATCTGCAATTCTCCTTAAAGCAACAAGAATATTAGATTTACACACCTGGAGCAATTGTTAAAAGATCTGCTATTATTTCCAATATCCTTTACTTTTTCAATTGAATTGCATGCTGTATACTGCACTGGATTTCTTTTTCATAGAACTGCCTGTCCTAGGACAACTCTAAACTGACTCCCTTTTTTAAACTTGTGCTTCTGAGACTGTTCTTACTCTTTCATCTCTCCCACACTCTGCCCCTATTTCCAGGAAAAAATGAAAGTGTTTTACTTCAGTAGTGACAGGTATATAGCACAAAATGCGTGTACTCATACATAAAATAATGTAAAATATGTATAACCAAATCTGTCAGTTAAACATGCTGTGTGATATTTGGAAGTAATATATTTCAAAGTGCTATACAGCAGTAAAAACAAAGGCCCTTAATTATTTTTACAGGTTACTTTGTCACCCAGTTGGAGAACCGGACTGAAAGTGAATGTTCTTTCATGTAAACTGGCAGATCCTAGAGAGGCGAGTCAGAGCTTGTTGGGAAAAGAGATTGGAAATAAGAGATTACACTATTAATAACAGCTAGGAAAAAGACTGTCTTTACTGTATTATTAGAGGTAGAATGCTGTTGTTGTATTTTGCTAAGTATGTTCTGATGGTAAGGAAAGAATATGCATTACTAATCCCTGTTACGTGGGCTTTTATGTTGATCTTTTGCAGGTGATGGTACTTTAAAATGTGTACTAGGGCCTCAGTTTAAGAAAAGTTAGTTCTACTGAACTCAACCCCTTACAAGGAGGGTGGAAGCTTTCCTCAGTTTAGAATGTATTTGAAAAAAATCAGAAATAACAAATAGTACGAGACAGTTCTGTTGAGCTTCTGTGCTTTTAACTGCCTTGCTACTTTCGTGCTGTGTTTGTGTTAGTTCAAAAAATAAAGACCCACTTTGAAATACTGCCTGGGTTTGTGGTGCATGTTGGTGAGTCCAGACACGGAACTTTTGGCAACTGCAGAGGCTTGGAAATAGCCATGATGTTTGCAAGGCTGCTTTTCTTTAGGGAGACTAAGTCTTATTAGAACGGAGTAATCAATTACCAGGGACCTCTGACAACCAATCAAGCTAAGACTATAAGCGGCAGAGAAGAAAGGACTCTTCTTCACCAAGAGAGTTGTTCTTAGCCAAACATAAAGAATCCAGGTATGCATATTTTGCCTTTCTCTATGTATTTTTTCCTATTTTTTAATCTATTTCTGTCCTTGGCTTCCCCTGCAGCTGGTGTATTTGCTACATTCACCAGTCCTCACCTTCTGAGCATATCAGGAGTTGGCCTATTTGAAATGGTGGGAAGATACCGTAGCCCTTCTCTTGCAAAGTTATTTGTTAGGCTAGAATACCCTGAGGAACTCCTATCACCCCAGTGCACTACCTACCCGTTAAAGCAACATGGCAGAGAGAAAACAACCACAGAAACAGCAAAGTTTGACAAGCAATCCACCAAAATTGCATCGCCCTACTCATGTGAGTAGAAACGAGGGACTAAATGCACAAAAAAATGTTGCCAGTGTTGGGTCACTGCATCTCTCCTGTTGCAGCAATAAACAACTTCAACATTTTCCTGCCGTAACAGCTAATATTCTGAAGTGAATGTTTACAATAATTTTAATCACAACTCAGCTCTGCTACCAGTACACAGTGCTGAAGAACAAACTACAAACGATGCATTGTTGCTGTTGCCATAGACGGTAATGTTTGATAGGCACGAAGAAAAGGAAACAGCAGAGAAAATGAATTTAATCCTTCCTGTTTCAGAATTATTCACCCGAACTTCCCTGCTCAGCCCGGCTCTGTTGGCCTGACTTATCTGCTTGGCCCAGCTCATTGAGTTGCAACAAATTCAGAGGACAGCTTCCCTGCTGACAGAGGTAGGCTTAAACCAAAAGCGTTTTGACTGCTGTGAGCCAGGGGCTGGTTCTGTTCAGATGTAATGGCTGAATGTCTGTTTCAGTTGGCCTTCGTTCCTTAGCCTGCCTTTAGATGAAATCTGAATTATGTCCACAGCATTTAGACCTCATCATACAAAGAAATTTTACATGTGCTTTAAGTCATTGGCTTAAGTTAAAATACAGCGGAATGAAATGTCTGCATGTTTGCAGGATTGGTACCCAGTGCAGGTGGTGTGCGGATACACAGTGGTGTGCTGGAAATAGGAAAATGTCTATTTTTCTTCTGCAACGTGCTCTGCTTTCTTTTTACCATTTGATTTGCAGTATCCTGGATGATGCTACTCTTTCACAGAGGTGCTATTTTTTGGGCTACAGTAATTTTCTCTGCAAGACTTTCCAAATGCACTTTTAAAACAAAACTTCCTAGCGGTTAAGATCTGGCTCCAATAAATGGAAGCATTTAACTTTGGTGCTTGCACGTTTGTAAAAAAAAATAATCCATCTGTTTTTGTTAGAAATTAGTCAGTTCTGTGCAACCTTTGAAAATGGCAAGTTTTGATGTTTGTGGGGGGAGGGTTTTTTTAATTATATTTTACAACTTACTGTGTCACTCCTTTGAATTGAAAGTGAACTCGCTGTCATGCAAACTGGTAGAGTGTGTTAGATCAGTTGGGAGTTTGGAAACGGGAAAAGTTATGCAGCATGGCTTTTTAACAGCTGGAAATAGTTAAAAACTTCACTGTTGCACTGCACTGTATAAGTAATGGCAATTGCTGCAGTTAGATTTCTATTAAAAATATATTTAAATCAGTAAAAGTAAAGACAATTTTACTGGTTATCTTTACCAATGAGCTGCTTTATTCTTGATCTTTTGTATTATTTTACTTTTAGAAGCATGTTTAAAGCTCAGGTTAGGAAAAAAGATCTGCCAAGCATCTGGCACACTTCCTGCTGCATTACACCCCTTGGAGTGGGAGGGAAAGCAACCCTCATTTAATTTGTACATTTGAAAAACGCACGGAGGAATCGTGAAACTAATCTAAAAAGAAAACATCTTTTTATTGTAGAATACCCCAAGGATAGAAATTCTTTCTGATGCTGTAATTCTTGATTTACTGTTACACATATATCTTTGATTTTATATCCATAGCATGGGTGAGCCTTAGCTCCTACATCACCATTCTGATGGTTTAATTTTTAGACTTTTATTTTAAGGCAATACATCAGTAGAACAGAAGAGCACACACAGTGACAGCCAGCGCCGCTCCCCTCCCCGGCTGTCCGGCACACCATCTCCATTGGCACTTCCAAGGTACGGTTAAGGTATTAACCACCTGCCCCAAGCTGGGTTGGACTCCGGGTTCACAGCCTCAGAGGAGGCTGAAGCCTCCACGGGAACGGGGCTGTTTCAGTCAAATGCCTTTCGAGCGCATGGGTTACGTGTCTTTGATGCACGACAGCCCGTTAGACGCTTGGGCCATGTAAGTGTTTAACGTACAGGACGGCTTGGGTGTCTCCTTGTTCACCAGATGTTCCCAGAAGAGCCTCTTCCTTTGCAGACAGGGTCCCAGCCAGGCTCCTGGTTAGGATCTACGCGTTTGCTGCGCCACCTTAAACCGCATAGAGAGGACATCTCTTATCCCAGCCTCTATCTCATCGTTGGCCTGCACAGACCCAACTCCTTTGGGAGACCCTGTCAGAATCAAGTCCCCTTCTTCCAGGGTGAGTATTTCGCTGATGTAGCTGATCAGGTAAGGGATAGAGAAGATCATCGAGGAGGTCTCCCCCTCCTGCCTCAGCTTTCCGTTCACCTTGAGCCAGATCTTCAGCTTGTGAGGGTCTGGAATCTTCTCCTTAGGCACAAAGTCACTGACCGGGCATGACGAACTGAAGCCCTTGGCCAGGGTCCAGGGCAGACCCTTCTTTTTACACTCCTCCTGGGTGTCCCTGGCCGTCATGTCCAAGCAGAGGGCATAGCCTGCCACGTGCTCCATGGCGGCCTCCTGGGACACAGCCTGGGCTCTCTTCCCGATCACCACCCCCAGCTCCACTTCGTGGTGCAGGTTGTTGCAGTAGTAGGGCCGGAGGATGGGCGAGCCTTCCCGCACGTAGGCCGAGGAAGGCTTGAGGAAGAAGATGGGCTCCCGGGGCGGCACGCTCCCCATCTCCTTGGCGTGCTCGGCGTAGTTGCGCCCCACGCAGACGATGTTCTTGCCCCACTCCCAGAAGCGGGACAGGGGTTTGGAGGAGGCCATGCCCGCGGCGGGTCTCCTTCTCCGGGGACCGCGGGCGCCCTTGGGGTGTCCTTGCCGGGCCCGGAGCCGCGCCGCCGCCGCCTCTCCTCCGCCGCCCTCTCCTTCCTGCCTGCTCCCTGCCCGCGGCGGATTGCCCAGGGCAGCCGTCCGCCCTCCCGCCTCCTTACCCGGGTTAGCAAATCGCCCGGCCCGGGCGTGCCGAGCGGCAGCGGGGAGGGAAGGAGGGGGCCGGCC